CCTTAAAGTGGCAGCGCACCATTATGCTGCTACAATAGTACATTAATCTCAATCTGTGTTGATATAAAGTGTAACACATAATTGGTATTGGTATTGTTAAGCCTGATGTGCTTCCCATTAAATTCCACTGTTTATAGAGAGATTATTTCATTTTTACTCCACTTTGTTGGTCTAACTCATTAAATCCAATATGAATACAATCAAGATTGTGGCTGCAACCAGAAAAAATGTGGAGAAGTTCATAGAGTTTGCATACTTGCGCTGCATGTCCAGGTCTTACCTTTCTTTCCGTTTTTCTTCTTGGAGGACGTCTGCTGCAGACAAAGTGTTACCTGAAGGTAAGGTAAGGTAATTTTATTTATATAGCACATTTTCAGCAACAAGGCAATTCAAAGTACTTTACATGAGTTAAAAGGAAATACAAACAAAAATAACAAGCCAAAGGAAAAAGAGGAAAGGACACATTAAGGCAAATGGCAACATTCAGACAAAACAAAGTGCAAAACAAAGACATGAGTGAAGGCGGTTACGTCACAGGGCCGTGAAACCAGGTGGCTGAACCTCCTGGCAAAGTCCGATAGAGGTGTTGTTTATCGAGGAATGTACTTGAGAGCGCTCAGCTCCACAGCTCCATGGATACAGGAGGGGGTGAGGTGGGCAGGAGCGTTATATTTACATATCTTCAAGAAAGATTGGAAATATGGAGCCCTTCCAAGGCCACACAGGAAAAGCCAATTCAGATACAGAATGTCTTAGGTCGGGAAGATTATAAGCTTCAATCTTCCCTAAAGTCTCTCCGATACATCTCAGTTCCCAATTATCCAAATTAGTTTAGTCGTTCCACTGAGCCGAAACTAGTTCTTCTCCAAGATCGATTCCAACTCTTTAGTGAGTTTTAGAGTCCTCAGCTGGGCTGCGAGTCTCAGCAAGACTCACATTCAACTCTGTCCACACTAACACTCTGAGTGTTGGCTAGTTCGGCCAAGTCCGTCACAAATTTGTCGATAATCCAGGAATCCACAAGCTCCAAACAGCAGAAATCCTGTTATCATGTATAAATCCAGGGTGAATCATGCTGGGTGTGTCTCTGCAGGACAAGAGGGCTCTCCTGTGCCCAGACTTCTTGTCAAGAAAATTTTATCCATTGCACTGAGAGACGAGTTGACCAGATCCATAATTTGTAGATTTGGAGGATGTGAAAAGAAAGGCTCCAAAAATATAGAAAAAGACAGGACAAAAACAGCCCTTGTGATGACTTACGTTACAGCCACACAAATGTGGTAACATTCAATCACACCACACACAAAAGTCCATTATCAATCTCATCACACTTATATTTTGTTTCTTTAAATATAGGATTTAATTTACAGAGTAATTGGTTTTTGTTTAGAATTCTATACACTGTTTTCTGGAATAAGTGAACACATTTTAGTTTACACTTTTATATGTTTTACTTTATTTAACTTTCGTTTGTCTTAAGTTACCTCAGTGCTGCTCCATTTCTTCAGGGGAACAAAGATGAGACTGCAAATTGGTCCGTACCACAGCTCAGCATCAGAAGGGGGAAATGGGATTTTCTTATATAGTTTCAGTTAAGGTTTTGTGTGTTCTCCCCTTTGTCTTCTGTGTGGCCTGATAAGCAAGTAACCCTTGTGTTATCTTGCGGGTCAAAAGTGACCCATTACAATGTTTAGCTGTAGAAAAAATACCCTAAACGATCCTTTTCCAACTTGAAATTTTAAGACTTTTCCTAAATGGACCCCATCATTAGAAAAAGTGGTACTTTGTTTTTGTTTATGATTCCATTTGGGCTGTACACCACTAGGGTACAAGGATTGTCTTATGGGTAATTTCTGACCCGTGAATTATAAAACCATTTAAACAACAGAAAAAAGTTCAAAGGTCACACAAAAACTGTCTCTAACACATACACACACACATCAAGTAAACTGGATTGATGTATGAATTGAACTTGCATTTGACCTGCACCTGCACCTACACCTGCAGCTAACCAGACATAATACAAACAAATTCAGTATAGAGGATATAAAGGTGCCCTAAATCAGAGTCCTACACAAGATTTTGAACATCTTATGGTCAAGATGTTCAAAATCTTGACCGTAACATTTTTAACATCTTGATCTGCAAGATGAACATAAATACCGCAAAATTATTTAACATCCTGCAAAATTACTTTGCAGGATGTTAAACATAATATTTTGAACATCTTATGTTGAAGATGCTCTTATGTTGAACATTTTCCATATTTCATGTTGAAGGATGTTTCATGAGAGAAGTATTTTCATAATTGATGTCCTAAACAGTATAAAATAATGAACTGTTGACAAAAAAGTTGCAGATTGTTGACTTTTAACCCTTTCAGTATAGTTAATTCAGAAGTAATTCCTTCACACTTATATAATTACGATAATAGACCTTTACTGTGTAAAAGAAAACTTATGACAGCTGGTTTGTTGTAAAAAGAAAAGTGTAATGCTGTGATCATCGTTTCGTGTTGTGTAACAAAAAATACATGATAAAAATGATTTAAATTGAGTTGAATTGATAAATAATAATAATATAATAATAATAATAATTGTTTCATCATGCAAAATAGATTTGGGATTTCAAAATCAAGTAAATTGCTTTATTTGGGGGCTTTTGTTAGGGCGGGTCTTTTTTGACCTGTAGGACAAGGGAAGTAAACAGAATGTTAAGATCGCACGAGGGTTAAGTTTCCCCTTTGACTCATTTAGGTAGGTATGTTTGTTTGAGTTAGTCTGAGTTGAATTCTGTTACTTTGACCATTTTTATAGGCCCAACTTTGTCACTTTTCACTATTTACCCAAGTTTCTGTTTTGAGTGAAATAAAAAAAATTCTTCTTGGACTTAAACCTATCTATCCCTGATTCTCCTTTTACTGCTCAGTCCATCACAGCCCTGTAAGATCCATGACTGAGGAGGAAAAACCTGAAATCCACAGTGAAATAAATTGAGTAGCTGCTGCAGCTCCTCTCAGCTCTGAGTAATGGATCAGGCGCAGTCTGTTTGCTCCCACGTGACAAAGTGAAGGCAGAATGTAAAAGGAAATCTTATAACAGGGAGAATAAATGTTTTACATGTCAAACAGCTGTTTGTGTCGCATTTTGGCTCAGTTTTCTTTATCTTGCTTTATTATCGCTCCGCTTTCTTTGCCTTATGATGACGAATTTTCTTATTATTTAACAATAATACACAATATGTAAGGCAAAGTCATATTTTTTTGAGTACCTCTCTTGTTGTACCAAGGAGCTGGTAATGGATTTCTACTAAGACAGTCCCACCTCACGGACACTGGTGAACATCCAGGGAGACTTTGAAATAGTGAACTCATGTAAGTGTCTGGGTGTTCACCTGAACAATGAACTGGACTGAACTCACAACACTGATGCGTTTTACAGGAAGGGTCAGAATAGACTCTACCTGCTGAGAAGACAGAAATTTTTCTGGATTGTTCTCCTGAAGACGTTATTCGGCTCTGTGGTAGCATCACTCATCTTCTACAGTATTTGCTGTGGGAGCAGCAGCTTGTCTACATCGGAAAGGAGGCAATTAGATAAGCTCATCAGCAGGAAGTGCTAAGATGGACAGAACTGGCCTGTCCCAGGTGGTGGGAGGCAGAAGGATTATTACTACTGTAAACCTTGTTTTCTTAAATATTGCTTTTAACACATTAATTTTGTGTGAAACTTTGTTTTTGTTGCTGCTGTTAAACCTGAATTTCCCTATGGCGGTACACTAAGGCTGTTTCAATTTATTCAATCTTAATTTAATCTAAATAGGTTGAGTAGATGTTTAAATAATGCTTCTTGTAAAAGTTGTTAGCATTTCTTTATAATTCAGTACATTGTAAACATAACACAATATAATCTTTTGTGGGATATCTACTAATCCTTTATGAACAAATAACCTAACTATTTATTTAAATTTTCTCCAAAGTTTGGAAAAGTTATTTATTTATTTATTTTACTATATATAATAAATACTCTGTAGTTAGACGTTTTTATAGTTCAGAAATGAATTTGTTTCAGGACTTTTCATTTATCCTGAAGCAATGTTTTTTTTCCTTTTGTTAGTCATTTTCCAGAGAAAATGACGTGCCATTATGGCCGCTTGGCCACGCCCTCACCTTACCTGTCTGAACTCTCCTGCACTTGCCAAGTATGTTCAGACGGAAGTCAACAAGTTGCCTTAAAAGGAACATCCTGTGCTTCACCTGGAAAAGGAAACAAAGAATAGATGTGATTTCTGACAATGACATGAAACAAACGCTCACTGCTTTCGATCAGGATCATCTTGACAGAGACGCAAGATGTACTTTAATAAATCAGGAAGAATCTCTTTGCGGATTTTACTTTTTCTCATCGTCCTCTCCCTCATTGACGCCCAGAGTAAGTAGGAGAAAAAAAAACATATTGAGAGCAGATGTGAATTACTGTAATTTATTGTTAATATAATCGGTGGCGCAACTACACATTATTCAGGTGGATGCGAAAGCATAAATCGCCCTCCCCGCCCCTCCCCCTCTTTCCCGAAGGAAGGTTGAAGGAGCGTGGAAAACATACGCATATAATTTAGGTAAAAGGATAGTATGCTAAGATAGACCTTGTAAGTTATAGTTGAAGTATTATCAAATTCACAAAGAAATAAATTAAGTAATTTAGTTTTGGTCTTGTTTCAGAATACCCAACTGAGGCAACTTTCTGAATACCAGGCAACTTAATGAATTTATTTATTTTTTTTCTGATGAGGTAACATATTGTGGAGTGCTGGAGAAAGCTTATATTTAGACATTTTTCTTAGTTTCATTTTCTATGTTGAAGCCTTTACATTAAATTATGAGTCTTCCCCTGTTAACCTTGTCACTTCAATTCCCTTTTGTCTAATCATTTGCTTGCAGGAATGTTGTTTTCAAATTCAAATTAAAAAATACTTTATTGATCTCAAAGGGAAATTAAATATACTAACTTTCATTAATTCAAATTATTCAGTTAGATGATGATAGCTGTATGCAGGAAAGATTTCTTGTAGCAGTCTGTATTACAGTGAAATTGAACCAACCTCTGACTGAAGACACTCTGTTTTCCCAAGATATTCTCATGAAGTGGTCAGTCAAGGTTGTCCATAGTTTTCTTGTTTTATATGAAGAATTTATCTCTCCATTTCTTAAATTTGTGACTGGTATGTTTACACGAGATGCTGTCATTCCGATAACATGACTGAATTGTCACATAGATCAAATGTCGCTTCCTGAGACCAAGAAGAATGCAACAATTTATATTTTTACTAAGTAAAATGACAAATATAGTAAGGCAGAGTGACTTGGATAAGTATCTTTAATCCGATTACTATGATGGAAATAGTAACTTTTTCAATTACTTGGTACTGATGAAAGGGGTCATATTATCGTAATGACGTCACTGGTGATGACCATTCGTTGTGTGTGGGGTTGGCTGCCACAAATGCACAAGTTGTGTTTAGTTTCTCCTATCTTTTCAGCAATTTATGAAAATAATTATAAGGTCCCTCCATTCCAAAGTTTTCATAACTCATTAACATACAATTCACTGAAGATAATATTGTTTGATAATTGAAACTACATGAAGAGTGTCAAAATCACCCCATTCTCCTACCACATGTTGCAGGTGAAAATATGTTAATAGGCTCCATGTGTATTATAGACCATGTTTAATATCCGTATTTTTGACTTGTTTATCTCTCCTCTCTGATTAAATTATTACTTTGTGATGTTTTCCAGATGTCAAGATAGCCAATATCTTTGTTGTTGGGGGCACCACCATAAACATCATCAACGTTAAAGGCAACGGTTGCAAAGTGTGTCAGAAATGCAACATCTGGTCCTGGGATTGGAAAATCGAGTTGAAGTCCAACAGTGAAAATGACATTCAGTTTCGCTGTGAAAGACCTCAAGATTATTTCAAAGTGGAAATCGTGCGCAACATAGGTAAAACTAAATATTTTATGGTTACTTCTTTTCAACTGGTGCTTTATTCAGCTAAATAAAGTTAAAATAAAGTTAAAAATAACTTATTTTGTTGTTCTAAAATAAGTTTATGATGTTTGGTTTACCCAAAAATCATGAATCATCAGGTTGATGATGGAGGACAAAAATCATTTTAAAGCAATCGAAGAGTCCTTGGGTCATCAAGCGTCCATTGCAGCCACTGAATGTGCAGAGGATTTGATAAGATATGAATAACCTACACATTCAGTGCTAGAAAGTTTAAAGATGTAAAAAGTATATTTGAAATATTAAAGACTCATTTTGACCCATTAAATTAATTACACTTAGTCAACGATTATATTTGTTGGTAATCACACTGATGTTTATTTCCTGAAGATTAAATAAATAGACCTCTTAACACAAACATACATTATGACATTTAGGCTTCATATATTTCATTGTTTCAGCCAATTTTCTCTCTGTACCGGGTCATAGATCAGTTTATGATGTGTACTGCAGGTTCAAAAAGAGGCACCAGAACTATCAGACATAAATGAGCCTGAACTTTATCTACCCAGTTAGCCTCTGGCTCTCAACAAAGGTTTTCTTGGCCTTTTAACAAAGTCATTTTATAGCATAATTTTGAGTTTAAAGTAAAGTAGCTAACAATATACCTCAAATTTATTGTAGTGGTAAAAGAAAAATAAACGTGTGTCTGAGGGCAAGTCGTCAATTTGTGAGGCTTTGAAAACTTTTACTGTTCTACCATCACAGATGTAAATGTGTGAAGTTTCCTAAATATTAACTTGAACTATGTGCTTCTTTCAAAGGAGATTTTCAGTCAGAAAAATATGTAGAATAGCGCCTTAAGGCAGCAGTTAAGTATGGTGGTGGCTCTGTGATGCTTTGGGCCTGCTTTCCTTTCAAAAGCTCTGGGGGCCGTGATAGAATCTGTGATGCCGTGGACCCTTTGAAATACAAGATGAGTTTAGAGGAAAGTCTTGTGATCGCTGCAAGACAATAAAGCAGATATGATCAAATATCTCTGTCTGAATGCTACAACATTGTGAAATCTTATCAAATGCTTTTTTATCAGTAAAATAGAGTTGTACATAAATCCAACTTTTTATGAAGAAAATTTACTCTGTTGAGCAAATCGTTTAAAGTTTGAGCTTCTAATGTGAGAACAAACCAATATGCTGTAAAAAGGCTAAAATTATCTGCATATACTTTCAGAATTTAACTTCTCTCCAAAATATATATTTCTGTTTTGCAGCATGCACCTCAACGTCGTGTGGCCACAACCTCCTTTCTGACTTTGGGCTCTCAAATTTCAATCGCACAATCACCTGGAAATTTGAGGCTGATTCACAAAAATCATTCCAGTTAAACTTTGCTAACACAGGATTGACTCAGATTGCTCCAAGTGACAGCTGTACCAATAAACAGACCTACACTCTACGAGTAGCAAATATTCTCCTAGGGAAATTCTGCTCACATGGGACCATCAGAAGTGTAACGATCCGAGGTCATGAGAGCTTCTCTCTGGACCTCCCAGCAGGACAGACGCTAAGCAGAGGCCAGTTTAATGTGTCTGTAGTGGAGAAAATAACAAGTAAGTAAGATTGTCTTTTTGTTTTTGTTTAATGTCTTTCTTTTCTGTATCTCCCGCAGTAACATATTTGTGAATTTTCTTTCTTTCACAGCCCTTGCCAAAATTTCAGTCACATTAGAAGAAGGCTCTTTGTCCTCAACGCTGCTGACACCAAACTACCCAAACAGTTTTCCCAACAATGACCTGATGGAGTGGTATTTTCAGGTCCCCTATAATTATAAAACAGCAATTAAATTCCTGAACCTGAAGCAGCCGACTTGCTTAAAGGACAATGCGGAAGTGACTTACAGAAACGAAGGGACGAGTAGCCAGGTTGTTGGACTTGGTGACGTCCAGCCAGAACAGAAACAGGGAAGCTTCTCACTCAGGCTGAGGAATTGTCAGATGGACACAAGACGTCCTGATGGACTCTCCATGAATCTCACAGTGACTGCTTCCCCAGGTTTGTGTACAACATTACTTCAAATGTTATTATCCAGTGAATGTTGCATGTGGTGCAATGGGAATAGGAGATGGTTTGTTGTTTTAAAGGGGAAGTCTGATAGACCTGAACCCAGAGACTCTTTTAACTTTTCTGAAGTTGATACAGACTTTGTTTAGTAGTTTAAAGGCTGCTATTATTTGCATCTCCTGTCATCAGTGTTTTATCCATGGTGACTATCAAACCTGTAGATGTTCCTGTTAAAATTCCAGATAATTGAGACTTAACAATGTCTTATTTTCAACCATTTAACTACCATGTGCATCCTTCAATTTTTTTCATATGTCTGTCACAAGAATAGCCTAAATTCAGACCTTTACTTATTTCACTCAAAGGTTATAAAGGTGTTTGTTTTCTGCATCAGGCAGCAGATCTCAACAGCATGACAATCACTAGAATAAATGTGGAAATTAACTGAATTATATGATGAATTATTGACTGGTCACCAGGACATGTGCCAAATAAGAGGAGGAAACTAAGACTCAACGAATGATTTGACTAAATTATGAAGCAAATGTGAACATTTGCTTAATTTTGTTCATTTTCAGTTTTGGAGGTTCAATCAGCGTCAAGATGTTTCAATATTTGAGATGCCAAAAATCAGTGTTGAGGCTCAGCATGACATTAGTAAAAAGTTTGGTTTGAAAAGAGACTGTGTGAATGTAGGGATAACCTTTGCAACTTGAACTTTCCAAAATAAAAGCTCTTGATAAACCAATTTAGTTATTAGCTGGTGTACAATATTGTGTAATTATTAGCATCTGCTGAAGATCAAATTAAACCCAGAAGAGACATTACATGACTTAATGAGTGTCCTCATTAATGAAGCCTGAGCTGACTGATTTCTGTTTTTTACTAAGATAAAATGAAAGAAAAAACATCTGAAATGCCAAAGTTACAGATGTGAGTAATTGATTCATTTTTCTATTCATTTAATTCCTAATAGTTGGAAACATGAGCAATTTTGAGCCAACAAAGAGAAATGAGGAGAAAGGTAACGTTTTCCTGAATTCATCAGAAGTTTTAAACATAGGTGCTGAAAGAAAATTGATTAAATTTGGGATTTGTTCTCTTTTCCTCTTTTAGACACTCATCTGCAGACCACACTTGGTGTTTTGGCTGCTCTGGTTGTCAGTGCTGCTGTAGTGCTGATGGTGGTTTACATTATGATGAGGTGAGTTCTTCAGCTTATTTATTTATTCATTGTAAACCTAATGTGATCTGCTTAGATGCACATTGCCTCACTTCTTTGTTTTGCACAGTTTGTCATGATAAATCACAACACATTTTTGATGAGTTAAGTCGTTTCTGTTTTATTTTTGTTCAGTCCTTCTTAGTGTCTATGTTTATTTTTGGTTTCTAGTTATTCTTATTTTCTGTAGTTTTATTATGCTTCTTCAGTCTAGTTATTCTTTAGTGTTAGATTTAATTCCTAATCCCCTGTGCACTCTTCCTCATCCCCGAGTCCAGGTGTTTTGTTCAGCATTCAACCTCTTCAGTATTTAAGCACCTTATTCTCAGTCACTACTCGCGGGTTCCTTTCGTGTATTCCTAACACTTCGTCCCTCCACCCAGTGTTTTTCTCGTGTTTCCTTAGCGTAGTTATGTTGAGATGAAGCTTCATGATGCACTGAGGCATTTTATCCCATTGTTCGGCTCATGAGCCGATGTGCCTTCATTTGCTCTACTGCGACATCATGTGGACAATGTGAAAACAACGTGATGTGTGAAGCCTTAAACTGAATAAACAAAGGTGTTTGTGATACAAATACATAAATTCTGATTATTGTCTTAATCTGTTTAAAAGAAATAATGGCTGGATCAAAAAGAAAACTAGAAACAAATCGCTTTAGCCAGGCAAGATCAAAGCGTTGCATTGGGGTGGAAGTATAATAAAAACCCGAAAGAAATAATAACATCATTAACTTCTAAAAAATAGAAAAGAGTTTAAAGACATTCTGCTTCTATTAACACTTACCCTTTCAGTGGGTGGGGGGGGAGGAATCAGCTCTTTATTGTTTTGTTTTTTTCTGCAAAAAAAGGAAGAAGAAAAAAGAGCCCAGGATGGAGGTGTCAGTCTACAATTCAGGCGACACCAACATCCAGACAAGACTCAAGAACTTCCCAGAAGACTGTGAGGACGGTATTTACTCCCAAATTGACGAAACACTAATCTACTCGCACTTTTTACAAAAAGACGCTGCTTATAACATGTATGAGCTCTGTGAACTTACGCCTGAGTCAAAAAGGAAACCAGTCAATGACAAAAGGGGTGATGACAGCAATGTGACGGTCTTCCAATCTCAACAAGGACACCTGATTCCCAACAACTACATGGAGTTCAATGTAGACAATGTGGAGCAAAAAAACAACAAGGATCATCCAGCTCTGCAACCACGAAGGCTGAAGGGAGGCGACTGAGCAGATGATTCAGTTCAGCTTTTGGTTTTCCACTGGACCTTCTTGACCCTTTAGATTTTACTTCCTCGACATGTGTATCATTGTTGGTGTTTTTGTTTCTCTGAGGGGGTTTTTATGTTGTTTTTTCCCAGTGATGTTTTTAAGACATTGCTGGAGTTATTATGTCTCTTATCTCATATGACCAAACTTTTTTTTTAGTTTCTTTCTTCCATATTTAACTAGTATAAATAAATCTGAAGTTACTCACTGGGGTGCTCTTTTTCCACTTGTGAAATTGTATTAATGTTTTTAAACAAATTGTTAGGTTCTGGGATTTTAGTTTGTTCCTTTGGGTTGCTGAGTTATCTCCCTACTAGATGGAGTCCGAGAGGTGGCGGGCTGTGGCTTCATCGATGACGTCATCATCACACCGGAGGCTGATCATCTCATTTACGGCAGCATAAGAAGGGTGGAAGGGTGGAACGCCGGTACTTCGACGCCAGAGTGTCAACCGTAGATGGTTCCTCCAGATTCAAATGTTATAGATATTGAGATTTGTTAAATCAGTGATTCTTCAGAATAGGGACAAAATGGGTTTTAATTTTCCCATTTTTTTTATTTTTATTATTTCTCAACCTTATGTATGCAAATATGACAAATAATGTTTAGAAAATGTAAAGATGCTAAGGTGCAGGCTCCCAGTTGCAAATTTTTTTTAAAAAAAAATAAATTTTTAATTGATCTGACCCAGAACTTTGTCATCAACATCTGACAAAAATGAATATAAAATTATTTTTAAAATACCCCATTAGTGATATTTTTACTCATTTTACAGACAAATGCTTCTCAAGAAACAAAAGAAATATTATGTAAAACAATAAACAACAAAAAGTCCATCTGACGGAGTTGACAGTGCATGACAGTGTTGACACAGAACTGAGGGTGGTGACAAACTAGTGAATAAAATGAAAAACTTGATACATGTGAAGTAATGCAGTTTATGTAAAATACATTAAAATGAATTAATTGCACATTTAAGTGAGATTTGACGACAATTTCACTGAAAGAGTCACAAAAACTCTGATGGAGTTGACATCTGACGGAGTTGATGACATGCCAAACTATCTCAATCTCTCATTAAAGAGATCATTATGAAACAAATGTGCCGATTCACCTGTGGGTCCTGGAATCCGGGTCGCAGGTCCTGGAAACATTAGTCCCGTCTGGAGCTCATATGGAGAGAACCCTGTTTAACCTTAGCAGTTGTTTTTGTTAATTGCTATACTAAGTTTACATGGCTTCCCGTGACTACAACTCTGTTTATAAACCTTAGAAATATATATAAAGGTCACTTAAAGGTGAAATAAATGAATAGTGGGGGTAAACATTGTTTTCATGAGTAACTGTAGCTAATACAACAATTCCAATACATCGCTTAAACACACTTGGTCATTGCTTCCATGATTGTTCTTCCATTTGTATAATATGACAAATTATGTCATAATTTTATGACATTTACTTTATTAAAAGTAGATGAGCTCAAAACTATGTTGGTTTTCAGGTTCATCACCTTGTTTATAAAAAAGCTGAGGAGCAATGCAGTCGTCACTTGACGTCAATAAAACATGATGTGCTGAATAATCCTACTGAATAAACACTGATTGAAAGGGGGAAAAAAATCTATTTTCACTAAGATAAAACATGCAGGATGCCGGCCCTCGAGTACAGACTTCGGGCACTTCATTGAAGCAACAAGTATTAAAAAAGCCACACATTTAAAAAGTAGACATTTGTTGATATGTCTCAAATGGAATCATATATAAGTTATATTGGGTGGCCTAAGTCTAAAAAATAAAAGTCAGTCAACAAACATAGATTTCCAAAACGTAGTGTGCATTTATAATTTTTCATTTATGATACAAGAGGATGGAAGCTGGCTGACAGCAGGGCACCAAAATAAAGATTTCCTGAAAAGATCAGATTGTAGACTTTTTTGGTAAATCCTGTCCTAATGTAAAATATGACAGGTTACTGGATTAAGGAAATGTCTAGTATGCTATCACACATAATTTTTGAGAATTTGGAAACAGTTGCTTTTTATTTCCCAAAGTTATGGGGGGAGAAGAGGAGAGAATGGATATTTTGGCTGCCTGAAATGATCTGTTCCCCCTCTAAAAAATTTTAACAAATTAATGTGCCTGCAAGTCTTTAACTGTGTTCATTCCTCTCATCAACAACAAAGCCTGTGATTTTGATTACATTTGCTATTTATTTGATAAAGTTAGGAGGGGGAACAAAATATTTTAGCCGCCTGAAATAATGTGTTCCCCCTACATAAAATGGAAGACGCTGCTTGAAATGATCTCTTGCATCTGAGGGTAAAAAGAAGGGGCCGAGCCACAGCTAAACGGCTTTCATGACAGCAGGCCGAGGTAGAAGGACGGGGAATTGCAAAGCTGTGGCGTGCAGATGAACGGATTGAACCCAGCTGGACACCGGCTGACAGCTTGGGTGTAGATCCTTTTATACAGAGCTTGATTGATGAGTGGACGCGCTGGGTGAGGTCCAGCGCTGAGGTTGGATATGAGCATGACACCGATGGAGAAAGGAGAGGACGGAGTCTTCCAGCTTGAACTTTCGCTATTAGCTCCATTTTAAGATGTATTTGTGAACAAACAGAGCTAAAACTCAGAGATCTAACTGACAGCATCCGATTGTGGTAACAAAACAATCTAACTATAAATATTCTTTGAACTCTTACAAAGTAAACTTGCCAGCTCCTTAAAACCTTAAATTTAAGTGTCAAACAATTTAACAAGTTGTATCTATGCTGAAGCCATTAAATCAAATTTAACTGCATTGATATTCTCTTATTTAATTTATGCCTTGGGCCAGTTAGAAATGTGATCAGCATTGCAGTGTGTTCAGAGATCAATGAACTGATGACTTAATTTGGATTTAACAGAATCGCAAATAACTGATATATTTTTTAAATTGTGTATTTTTTGTTGTTTTTTTAGATTCTATAGTTTTGGGTTTAAGTATTGTCAGCAATGTCTTCCAGTAACATAATTACACAGTAATACCTTACGTTTCCTGTCAACATCTACAAAACCCCAGTGGACAGCCTTGGTGCCCCAAGCCTAGCAAGTTTTCTGAAGGAAACCCTGCACATGCCATGCAATGTTGCAGTTTCTCACATTCAGTTGTGTGTATGTTGGAAGGACTGTACAAATTAGTTGTATCTTGGTCAGATCAGGAATTGCTGCATATTTGTTGACTCATCATTGATGATACAAATCTTCCATGTCACAACATCCCAAAACTGCTTTAAAGGACTGAGATTTACTGACTTGGAGTGTTAAGGGCCCCCTCAAAGGCCATAAAGAAGAATGAGTGGATACAACACCAGTAACCATTTGAAGTACTTTTGAGGCCTTTATTTTTAAAACACAAGTCAAGAGCATGTGGACAGAAGCCCAGGCATGTTGGCATATGCCCGGGAACCGCTGAACTGACATGTGCACGCCTCCTTCTGGCCCTCTGTCATGCACAGTTCTCCTTCAAGCATGGACCCATCAATCCCTTCAGGTGTAGGCGACTGCTCCAAGGTGTGGACCTCCTTCAAGTGTGGGTGAGTGGCTCCTCTCCAAGTATTGAGCCAGAACATCCTACAGCAGTGCATCTGGCTCAAATCTCCACTTGTCTCACACGTTGGCCATGTGGAACGGAAGCCCCTTGTACGAATAGACCAAAGTCCCCATCTGACCCTTGGAGCCTCCCATTCTGGTACCTTAATGGAAACACAGACAGCAGTCACAGGAGGACATTGGAGTACAGTGAATTCATTGAAATTTTGATCAGTGAGGAAGATAACTGAATTTTTATAGGGAGAAACTTCCTGCAAAACCGGACTTGGGATAACGACCTGTCTCCTAGAAACACCTGATCGCTTTGGTCGTCCTGCATTGAAAACCTTGAAGCGCTCTTAGTCTGATACCTCCCCAGTGGCAACCTGTCCTGGGAAGCCTCACTACTGGCTGAAGCCCAAGACAAAATCTCCATCTGGGTCATTGGGATACTCAAACCCCTCGACCATGTTAAGGAGGCGATTCTGCGGAGGGGTCACCAGCAGATCACGATGGATGTTTAATCCAAGGGATCCCCCATCCTGAGCAAGCACAAGGCAACAGTGGAGAGGAAAACTCCCTTTAAAAGGAGAAACCTCCAGCAGAACCAGGCTCAGGATGAGCAGCCATCTGCCGAGGCTGGCTGGCTTCAAAAGGGCAAAAATAAAAAAACAAACACAATCATGTCAGCAAACCTCTGAAAGAAGAAAGACAGATTTAGTAACAATATTAGTTTACATTACACATGTTAAAAAAGGGACATAAAGGAAAGTAGTGCTGCTGCACTGTTTACAGAGTTTATGTTTGAATATATTAATGCTCTCAGACAGTTTGTGTTAAATGTAACAACAGTTTATGTAAAAGTGTTAGTGTTTTCATTTTAAATGGTGCAAAAAATATATAACTTAAATTCACAACATGGAATTGTAGAGGTTGCCAATCCATCCCAGGGCAACACAGTGACACACAGGACAAACCACCATGCAGCACACGCTCACAAGTAAGGAGAATTTGAACGGGCAAACTAGCAGTCATGTTTTTACTGTGGGAGGAAGCCGGAGTACCCGGAGAGAACCCACGCATGACACTTTTACTATCTCTGAACCTCGTTGCTGAAAGGCAACAGTTATATCAACTGCGCCATTGTGCAACTCCTTAGGACAATCTAAGTAATATCTGGACAGACCAATTGACCTAACAGTCATGTTTTTACTGTGGGAGGAAGCCGGAGCACCCGGAGAGAACCCACGCATGCCACTTTTAGTATCTCTGAACCTCTTTGCTTAAAGGCAACAGCGATATCAACTGCACATTGTGCGGCCCTCATATTCAATCCATTAGAACAAAGTCTAGACTATTACAGTATAAATGGACTATGGGAATATACATCATTCCTGCAAAATTGAATAATTTAACCCCATCATTCTAGATTTGTGTATGCATGGTGGAGAAAGGGGCACTATTACATTGCTTAAAACAATGCAACAAAACCAAGGTTTTTTGGGAGAAGGTTAAGAAAATAAGAATTATTTCAAAAGATGTTTTAATGGATCCTGCTCTATTTTGAGAGAGACAGGGCAATCAACCATGCAATACACACTCGAACCCAAGTAAATTTTGGACAGACCAATTGACCTAACAGTCATGGTTTTACTGTGGGAGGAAGCCGGAGTACCCGGAGAGAACCCACGCATGCCACTTTTACTATCTCTGAACCTCGTTGCTGAAAGGCAACAGTGCTATCAAGTGTGCCACTGTGCAGACAGACCCATTGTGCAGCTCTCATTCTCAATCCATTAGAACAAAACCTAGACTATTACAGTATAAATGGATGATGAGAATATACATCACCTTTTCCTCCCCTTTAATATCTTTTACCCCTTTCCTCCTTGTTATCATCTTCATTCAGCAAGTACTCCATGGACTCTAAAGTTATAAAGGCAGGTGTATTTGGGATTACCCCAGTTGCTCTTTACCTTTAGATTTACGTGTGTGAAGGAGCCAA